CTGCTGAGAGGAAGAAAGAATGGAGACAATATACTATACTCTCTATTACAACTTGGTGTGAGAAGAGTAAGTAGAAAGTATGTGCTATGCTCTGTCATACTTTTCTGCTGAGAAGAGAAGACAAAAGATACTTTTCTGCATTGTTTCCTGTTGTTGCCAAAAAGTGGGGAAGAATTCTTAAAAGGAGTACAGCTGGAGAAACTTTTGCCAATTTTAAGGCAAAAATCATCTTTTTTTTTTCTAAAAAAATGTGAATCAGCTGAAGAAATCAGCTAAGCATGAAGCTGGAAGTGATAGATTCTATAACTGCTAGGAGTAATACCAGCTGAGGGAACAGCATGGAAGCAGAGAATTAGAGAAGTCATCCTGAAGTTTGTGTCCATTCTTACCCATAGACTCTGAGTGCTTTTAGTAAGATAGTGTGATCCAGGTTTATGTGTGGACTGTGATGTATTTATTTCTTAATTTGCTTTATGAGGGCCTGTGATGTTGTGTTCACCTTATTGCAAATGGAAATATTTAAGATCCAAAGTATCATCATTGTGGATGGCTGGGTTTATGGAGATGGAAGTACACTGGTTGGGGCTCAAGAGCTAGAGTGGTGAATAGAGGGAGTCTATTGCCATATAACAGGACTCCCAAAAAGTTAGAGTGTAGTCACATGGTGGCAGTCCTTTCCTATTAGTATGAGGACAGGTTTGGGTGAGCAAGCCAGGCCAGAAAGTAATTATGGGGGGTCCATGTCATGAGGACCCTATTATGCAGGTGTTACAAAAGGACAGGGATGAGGCAGCTAGGTGGCACAGTGGATAGAGTACCAGTCCTGGAGTCAGGAAGACCTGAGTTCAAATCCAGCCTCAGACCATACTTTGACACTTATTAGCTGTGTGACCCTGGGCAAGACACTTAACCCCAATGGCCTAAAAATACCCACAAAAAACAAAAACAAAAGCATGGGGGTATGACTGTCAGCATCAGGGAAGGAAACAGTGGATGTGGAGTGAAGAAAGATGAGAAAAAAAGAAAGGGAATGATTTCAAGATACAGGCTCACAGAATAAAGAAGAGACGGTAAGATCAAGAACACTAATAGAGAGGCTACTCATGGAAAAGATCCCATTTTTTTTTTATCAAATCCAAAGTAAAGGAAGAGAGAAGGGAAATGGATTATAAAGAGGGATTTTGAAGTCTGGAAAGAAGAGGGAGGTTCCGATGGAAAATCTATACTTCCTCAGCAAAGAATGTCTTTTGCAGAGAGTAAGTAGGTAGGAGGGGTTATGAGGAAAAAGAAGGTTTAGAGTAGGTTCTGTGGATAATATAACAGAAAGTTGATCACGGAAGCAAAAAAAGAATTTCTGTGTATCACTACGGGCTTAGCAAAATTAGATAACATAAATTTTCAATGAAACATATGACAGTGAACCACATAATAAAACCAACCCAGTTGTGTGATTTTCCTCAGGAGTGGTAAGCAGCACAACCAGTAGAGACAGACTTGATTAAAAAACCAAAGAAACTATATTATTCATAAAGGCATTTTCAACAATGAGTTCATTGAACAGCAATATGTAATACAGATGCACCAAATAGCATAGCATCAAAAATAAAGGAAAAGTTAAATGAGTTAAAGGAAGAAGTAGACCATAAAAGTAGCCAATAAAAAATAGTTGGGGGCACTTCACTCTACCCTTTTCAGACCTAGACAAATCTGACAACAGCAGAACAAAAAGCAAGAAAAAAGTTAAGGACGGGAATAGAGTTTTAGAAGAGTTGGATATTAAAATGATCCATATATTACAAATCTTTAGCTATCACTGAATGGGAACAACAAGGGCTATACATATTCATTAGCTCTAAATGGCACCTTTACTAAAATTGACCACACATTAAGGCATAAAAATCTCACAAATACATGCAGAAAAGGAGATATGTTAAACACATCCTTTATAGACAAATAGGTAGCACAGTGAATAGAACACTGGACAGAGAAGCAAATCTGAGTTCAAATCTGGTCTCAGACATATACTAGCTATGTGACCCTGACCAAGTCACTTAACTTTTGTCTGCCTCAGTTTCCTCATTTATAAAATGGAGATAGTAACCTCCTAGAACTTTTGTGAAGATAAACAGATAATATCTATAAATTATTTTGCAAACCTTTTATTATTACCGACCATAATACAATGAAAATATAATCAATAAAGGACCATTGAAGAAAGAATGATAAATTAATTGGAAACTAACAATCCTAAAGAATTGTTGAGTCAAAGGACAAATTACAGAAACAATAGATACTTTCTTCAAAGAAAATGACAATGGAGAGACAACATATCGCAGTTTTTGATATGTAGCCAAAGTAACCCTTAGGAGAAAAGTTTCTATCTCTAAATACCTCCATCAGTAAAAGAAAAGGAGGGGCAGTTAGGTTGCTCAGTGACTAGAACTCCAGCCTTGGAGTCAGGAGGACCTGAGTTCAAATCTGGCCGTAGACATTTGATACTTACCAGCCTGTGTGACCCTGGGCAAGTCACTTAACCCCAACTGCCTCACCAAAAAGCAAAAAAAAAAAATTTAATTAAAAAATAAAAGAGAAGAAACAGATAGGGAACTAAAAACAAAAATCTAGAAAACCAAGTGCAAATATGCATTTATTGTTGCTACATCCAGAAAGAAACCACTGAGAAGAAACAGATTTGAAGCTGAAATATGTGATTTTTGTTAGGTAGCAGGTAGAGAATTTTTTAACCAGAAGGGTGATTAAAACATTCTAATGGGTTAGGTAATAAGTGAAATTGTGGAATCTTCAACCTTATGAAGCTTTAAAAAACAGATAGCTGACCATCTGGTTTGCATGGTTTGCTTTACTAAAGGCAGGGGACTGGAAAAGACGGCTTCCTGCAGCCTCTGACTGATGGCAAGTTTGGAAGTGTTGCTCCTTATATTTCTCCTATATTTGATCCTTTTGCAAATGGACAGCTTAGATCCATAAAGTAAAAAACAAAGACCACGAGGGTTTTTGCTGTTTTTTTTTAAAGTAAAATAAATGTGTTCCGCTGCCGAGATGTATTATTCTGTTTCCTTTATGTGTGTAAACAAAGAAACAGATCCGTACTCTCACACTGTAGTCTGCAGCTGATGCTAAACATCACCCCTCTTCCCCATGCTGTTCTGTTCTGTTTCCATGGTGCTAAAGCATTGTGTGAGCTTTCAGGTTGGAGCAAACTAATTTTTTTAAAGCTTTCTTTTTAACCACTATCGTTCATTTGTTGAGGGTGATGCCAGGGCTGGCAAGCTGAAATTAAAGCAGAAGGTCCGAATTCATTTTTCTAAGCACACATTTTCTGAGAAGTATGACTTAAAAAAAACACTCCTGAAAAATGCATAGAAATCTTTTAAATTCAGACATGGGGGAAATTCCCCATATCATCTCATTTCTAAAGAATGACCAATTAAGGATTAAATGGGCTATTGATTGTTTTGTTTCAGTTTATAGCTTAGTTATAAATGGCTGATGGGAAATGATGACAAACCTTCTATTGTAACCCTCTGGGAGTTCATTAGGTCATTTCTGAGAATGTTGGATAGAGTCATCTGTTGCCCCCAGGTGCTGGATAGCGGCTTTCCTCTTGGGAAAGAAATTTAACAAAGGAGTGTATTTCAAAGAAGGCACTCCATGTTTTCCACCCTTTTTCTGAAGTGTTTTCAAACACACTCTAAGCTAAAAATTCTTAGAAGTGAGAAAAGGAGGTATATATCAGACGACCCCTGAAGCCACCGACAATTCCAGGGAGCAGAAGATAGGGTCAGATTCTGGATGCTTGAATCCCAAATACATTTTCTCCATAGGAGGGCCTGATTTATTTTTGCCCCACCCACTGGGTCTAAACTTTGAAATGCTCAGTACAAAAGCTTTGGACTAATGCCCTACTTGCATGTCTTATGCTAGTGAAATGTGACATGTCTTATTTCGATCTTATTCCAAAACCAATGGGCAGTTTCTTTGTTGCCAAAGGATGTTTCATCTGTCTAAGCTCAAACATCCCGCTATTTTAATAACGACATAGCATTTTTATAAGTAAATTTGTGAGTCAGTATCAGGGTAGATACCATGAACAATTAGTTAAATGAGTTTGTGTGGATAGACATGTTAATGCTGCAAAAAGAAACTGATGACAGGAATAGGGTAAAGAAACATTTCAATTAAGATTTCTACATGAAAGGTCAATTGTGACTTAAACATTCATAGATCAGTAATTACCATTGCATTATGTCATGTACAGAACATAGATCTCTGTGTTCTTGATTAGACTTAATTCTAATATACTTTTAAGTTCCAAGTGCTAAACAACACATTCAGTAATTTTTTTGCCTTTTCATTAATGACCATTTTTTACAAAAGCTAAATCTCTTTAGAATTGATTTCTTTTAGAATTCTGTTTAAAATATTTATAACAAAAGAGGATTGCCATGGTCAGCATTTAAGTATACTCTCTGAGGCTAACCAAGTAATTCACCAACATATTTTGAAAGAGTCACCACAGAGAAACTATACTCAATGTGATATTACTGATGGCATCAAGCAAAAAAGTGAAGCTTAAAATGTTAGAATAAAATTTAATCTATTGCTGTTATCAATGTTTCTATATGCCAAGGTGGGTCAATCATTTCCAGATTTTCTAAATATTTTTGTCTAAAGAAAATTAGAAATGTTTATAATGTCACAGATTTAGAGCTGGAAGGAGCTTTAGACATCATCTAAAGCAAACTCTTTCATTTTTCAAAGACGGAAAACAGGCCTAAAAAGGTTAAGTGACTTGCTCATGGTCACAGCTAGTAAGGGTCTTTGGTAGGATTTGAACCCAAGTCTTCTCATCTCCTGATCCAGCACCATTATACCACACTGCCTTTCTACTTTTTTCTTTGCTAATAAAAATATCTAGCATAGTCAAAAAGTAAGGTTATTGAATCTTGAAATTATTTTTCACTGGGTTTCTTAAGTACCTTTAAAGTTATTAACCAGTCCCATCACGACGTAATGTTGGATCTCCATGTAGATTGTGATCCGATGGACAATCTGTCTATAAGTTCACCACAGTGTCTCAGACTCTTGACATCATCATCATTCATTTGGGCTGAAGGTTTTTGGGAGGTCTGTTAAAATGCAAATATAAAAGAGAATATTGATGCCTTACCACCCAAGATAGTAGCGTGGATTAGCATGCATCAATTCCCTTCTCCCAGAATTAGATCTGAACAAGAATTAGATCAGAATAGGCAAGTTTATAACACTAAGTATCTGATCTAATGGAAAGATCAGTAGATGTTGAGCCAGGGGACCTTGGTTTGAATGCTGGCTATTTGCTATTTTAATTACTAAGTCTAACCTTGAGCAAGTTACTTAACCTTTGTGGGGCTCACTCTCCCCAATAAACTGAGGGACTTGGCCTAAATTATCTCCAAAAGTGGATGGAAAATGGAGAGTAGTAAAAAGAGAAATTGCACCAGGGTGTAAGACCAAATTTAAACTGTGTTAAGATATTTTGTTCTCTAGAAAAGTTTTCATGAGTAAATGCATTTTATACCACACATTAAGATAAACTCCAAACAGGCATGCGACTTAGACATAAAATATGACATCAGAAGAAAATCAGAGGAGCAAGGGAAAAATTACTTTTCATATCTATGGATAAGGAAAGAGTTCATGATTAAACAAGTAATAGAAAATCATAGAAAATAAAATGGATGATTTTGACTATGTAAAACAGCCACGTTTTTGTAAAAAACAAATCTAAATAAATTAAAACGAAAATTGGTAATTGGGGAAAAATCTTTGCAGTAAGTTTCTCTGAAGATTTCATAGTCAAGATATATAAGGACTTCATTAAAATTTACAAGATAAAATAAAGCTATTCCCCAATAGATTAATGGTAAAATGATATGAACAGGCTGTTTTCAAAGGAAGCTATCTAAACGTTCAATAATCATATGAAAAAATACTCCAAAGCATTAATATTTAGAGAAATACAGATTAAAACAAGTCTGAGGTTTCTCCTCATACACATCAGATTAACAAAGTTGGCAAAAGAGGGAAATTACAAATGTTAGAAAGGCTGTGGCAAAGCAATCACATTTCTGCACTGTTGGTGAAACTGTGAATTGATCTAGCCAATCTGGAAGAAAACTGGAATTATGCCCCCCAAATTACTAAAGCGTACCTACCCTTTGACAGCTATACCATCACTAAGCCTATATCCCATAGCGATCAAATAAAGAAGGAAAGAACTCATATGTATAAAAATATTCACAGGAGTTCCTTTTATAGTAGCACTAGAAATTAATGGGATACCCAGCTATTAAGGGACAGGTAAACAAATTGTGGTATACAAATGTAATAGGATATTATTATGCCATAAGAAATAGAGAAAATGTCAAAAACTGGGAAAAACGCTATGAACTGATGCAGAGTAAAGTGAGCAGAACCAAAAGAAGAATTCATACATTACAGAAAAAAACAACTTTAAAAGACTTTAGAACAATTCATATAATCAAACACCACTAGTCTAAAGGCCTAAAGATGAACTATATCATCCACCTCTTGCCAAAGAAGGTGGTAGACTTAAAATCCAGAAGGAGACATGCATTTTTAGACATGGCCGACATAGGAATTTGTTTTGCTCAACTGAGTATTCTTTATGAGGGGTTTGATTTTGTTCTTAATTGCTTAGCTGGGGGCAAGAAGAAGAAAGAGATCATAAATTAACTTAAATTTTTAAAAAGCAATCACAAAAAGGAATTTTAAAAAGTGAATTATTATGTTTTACTATCTACCAGATGATTCTAGATCTCTTTATAATCAATGAGTCAATAATCCAGCCTTTATTAAGTGACTACTCTATGCCAGGCACTTTGCTATGTGCTAGGACTGCAAAGACAATCACAAAACAGTTCCTGCCCTCAGAGAGCTTATATTTTTTAGGGAAAAATCCTATACACATAGAAGTTTATGTAAAATAAATACAAAATAATGTGGGGTGGCACTAGCAGCTATGGCAGAGAGTGGTGTCAAGGAAAGGCCTCCTGTAGAGGGTGGCATTGGAGCTGAGGATCGAAGGAAGGATCCTGCAAGGCAGAATTAGGGAATACATGCCACACAGGGCAGATAGCCTGTTTAAGGGCAAAAACAAGATGGAAGATGGAATGGAATGGATGGGTGTGGCTGCATTGTAGAGTGACTAAAGGACAGCAACACATGATATGCCTGGAAAGGCAGGTGGCTTCCAGGGTTACTTGTTCATTTGAACCAAGAGGCAGTGGGGAACCACTGGAGCTTCTTGAGCAGAAGAATGATATGGTCAGACCTGAGCTTTAGAACATCACTTTGGCAGCTGTGTACAGGATGGATCGGAGCAAGGAAGAACTTGAGGCAGAGAGCCCGATTAGAATACTATGAGAAGACTTAAGGGGAGAGTGATGAGGACCTGAACCAGGGTGGTGGGCAGAGAACTATGTGCCAGGCACTCTGCTAAGCACTTGACAAACATGCTCTCATTTGATCCTTAAACCAACCCCGCAAAGTAGGTGCTATTATTATCCCCATTTTACAGTTGAGGAAACTAAGGCAGAAAGAAGTTAAATGACTTACCCAGGGTCAGCTAAGTGTCTGAGGCTGGATTTGAACTCAGATCTTCCTGACTCCAGGTTCAGCAGTCTACTGCACCACAATGATGCCTCTATATTAAAACCATTCCAACAGAATATAAATGACAAGCTACACCAATCAAACTAAGATGTTACTTTGTACCAATACAAAACAACAATAAAATTCATTTAGAGAAACAAAAATACAGAATCTCAAAGCAAGTAAGGAAAATAATGCAAGAATGAAAGGAGTGGAGCATTACTAGATCACAAATATTATAAATATTGTTTTTAAAATAAATTAATTACAAATTAAATTAATTAAACATTATAAACATATATACATATTATGATACAATAATACTCCAATTATTTTGTACTTGTTAAAAATAGGAAAGTTAAATGAGTGAGACAAAGCAGATGTAGGAGAATTAGAAATAATCAAATTTAATGAGCCAGTGCTCAATAAACCTTAGAAAATAAAATGCTCAGGAAGAACTCCCTATATGACACAGACTTCTGGGAAAGCTGAATATCAGTTTGATGGAAATTAGGTTTAGACCAACATCTTATAACACATAGTACAATAAGCTCGAAATGGATGTGATACTTGGATATAAAAAGTCACCACAGAATATTGGAAAAGAAGGAGATCAGATTATGCCTATGAGTAGGGGGAGAATGTCGAACTTCAAACAAGGGATAGAGTCAATCACAAAGGATAAAAGAAATCATTTTGACTACTTGAAACTGAAAATCCTTTGCATGAACACAATCAACGCAGCTATGAATTAAAGGGGAAAGTACTGATTGAGAAAAGTAATCTTCACATCAAGTAATTCTGATAACAGTCTAATATCCAATACACATGGGAAATTCACACAAATAATTAAGACCAAGAGCCATTCTGTAATGAATATGTGGTCAAAGGACAGGAATAAGCTGCTCAGACTGTTACTAACTGTGTGAAAGACTGTTCCAAATCATTAACAAGAGAAACGCTCATGACAACTCTGAGACTTTAAATGGACAAAGATGACCAAAGATGGAAATAGTGTTGAAAGGGCTGAGGAAATACAGGCACATGAAGGTACTATTGGGTTGAACTATTTATCAGGTCAATCATTCCGGAAAGCAGTTTTGGAGAATGTTCCAAGCTACACCTGCTGCTCTGCCTGGCTTCAAATCCAGGGAAGAAGATGACTCAGCGCTGGGGGTACTCCCTAGTGCCCCATCCCCCTTTCTTGCCTTCTTTTGTGTATTGTTCCACCCCCCCCATTTGATTATAAACTTCTTGAGGGCAAAGACTATCTTTCTTTTTATTAATTGTATCCCTAGGATTTAGCAAAGTACCTGGCACATAGTAAGAGCTGGATAAATGTTTATTGGATTGAATAATGCTTTAAAATGACTAAAAAGTCCACATCCTTTGATTCAGAGGTCATTGTTGTTCAGTTACATACAGCTCTTTGTGACCCCGTAGACCATAGCATGCCCATACTGGGCATGGGGTTTTCTTGGCAAAGATAATGAAGTAGTTTACCATTGCCTTCTCCAGTGGAGCAAAGCAAACCAGGTTAAGTGATTTGCCCAGGGTCATACAAGTAGTGTGTGTCTGAGGACAAATTTGAACTCAGGTCTTCCTGACTCCAGGCTAAGTGCTCTATCCACTAAGAAACCTAGCTGCCTTCTCAGAGACCATACTGCTAGGCATGTACCCCAAGGAGGTCATAGACAGAAAGAAAGGTCCAATATACACCACAACCTCCATATTTTTTGTGATAGCAAAGAACCAGAAGCAAAGCAGATATCCATCATTTGGGGAATGACTCGGCAAATTGTGGTATACAAATGTAATGGATTATTGTGCTATAAGAAATGGTGAATATGAAGAATTCTGAGAAATGTGAAAAGACTTTTATGAATTGATGCCGAAGGAAGTAAGCTAAATCAGGAAAAATAAACATAATAACTATAGCCATGCACAGTGGGGGAAAACTCAATAAAATGAAACTAAATGCTATATAATAAACAACTTGACTCCAGAGGAGAATCTGGAAAATGCATGTCTCTCGCTTCATCGGAGGAATGGGAGAATACGCCTGTTGAATATGATATCTACTATGAGATGGAGCTGGTGTGCTGGTTGGTTTTACTGAATTTTTTCTTCCCTTTTTTCTTCTTAATTAAAAGGAATGGGTCTCTGGTTAGTGGACTGAGTAGAAACATACTGATAAATGAAAGTAATGTTAAAACAAAGAGTACCAATATAAGTAAAATTCTTTTGTAAAGTAAAGAAGCACATTTCAAGACGAAAAGTATCAACAACCTTTCGAAAGATATTCTACATCACTAATAATACAAATGCACATTGGCAATAACTGAGGTTTCACATATCACTCCCATCAAATTAGCAAATCAGCAAACCTGGAAATTATCAACATCAGAGGGGTTTACGGGAAGATGGGCACACTAATGTGCTGTTTGGTGAAGCCTATGAATTGATCCAAACATTGGGGTAATCAATTTGTAATTTTTCAAGAGAAGTTACAAAACTTTTCATACCCTTTCACCCAGAGATTCTAACACTGGATATTTACCCCATGTCGATAAATGACAGGAAAAAAAACAGAGCCTGCCTCTCTGTCTCCTCTTCTCTCTCTCTCTAACTCTCTCTCTCTCTCTCTCTCTCTCTCTCTCTCTCTCTCTCTCTCTCTCTCTCTCTCCCCATGTATGTATATATGTATATTTTATATATATATATGTATATGTGTATACGATAGATATACATATATGTATATAGTTATATGTATGTTCATAGCAGCACCTTCCAAGATGACTGTTGTTAGAGAATAGTCAACAAATTACGGAGGAACAACAAATAGGACAAATGAAAAGACACGTGGGAAGACTTCTGTGACTGAAGAAAGTTGAAACAAGAGGTAACTATACACAGTGACCAAAAAATGTAAGTAATAAGAGCACTAAAAAGCAGCGTAACTCAAAAGATTGTGACCAGTCTCAATTCTAGAGAATTGTTAAGGAGACACACGATCCTTTTTTCAGCAGTTAGGCAGGGCCTATAGATGTTAAATGCAGGATTGCTCTGAAAACAGAGATTCACAAATGTTCAATGATTTGACCAGGGTCCCACATCTAGTCCTTGTCAAAATATAAAACAACAATAAGCAGGATTGTTGTTACTGTTGTAGCTGTTGTTTAGTTGTGTTAGACTCTTCGTGACCCTGTGAATCACACTGTTTTCTAGGCAAAGATACTAGATTGGTTTGCCATTTCACTTCTCTGCTGGATTAAGGCAAACAGATGTTAAGTGATTTACCCAGGGTCACATAGCGAATACACTGTCAGATTCAGTGGTTGGTTTTGATGAAAAATTATTCTTGGAGAGCCAAGCAAAATGAAGGAAGAAGGCAGGAACTTGCCCGAATCCTCTCAAATTCACCTCCAAACAACTTTAAAATAATATCTCAAAACAAATTCTGGAGTGGCAAAATCAACAAAAGGATGTGGTGAAACAATTTTCCAGCCCAACTCAACTTAGAAAGTCAGCAAGAAAGATCAGTCTCACTCGGATAAAAGAAGAGCACCGTCTTCTGAACGTGTGTGGGCAAGTCTCAGCAGGCCACACCCCAGCAAGCCAGTGATGAGGCCTGAGCCCCAGCAAAGGTCAATAGCAAGGCCCTATGCATCCAGAAAACTGAGAAAAAATTTTACAGCAAGTATCTCTGACAAAGGCCTTATTTCTCAATATATGGAGAACTGAGTCAAACTTAGAAGAATACAAGTCATTCCCCCAATCGATAAATGGTCAAAGGATGTGAACAGGCAGTTTTCAAATAAAGAAATCAAAGCTATCTACAGTCATATGAAAAAAATGCTCAAAATCACTACTGATTAGAGAAATGCAAATTAAAACAACTCTAAAGTACTACCTCACACCTATCAGATTGGCTAATATGATAGAAAAGGACAATGATAAATGTTAGAGAGGATGTGGGGAAATTGGGACACTAATACACTGTTGGTGGAGTTGTGAACTGATCCAACCATTCTGGAGAAGAGTTTGGAATTATACCCAAGGGCTATAAAACTGAGCATATCCTTTGACCCAGCAATATCATTCCTAGGTCTGTATCCCAAAGAGATTTTTTTTAAAAGAGGGTGGGGAAGAAGACCTATATGTACAAAAAACATTTATAGCACTTCTATTTGTGGTAGCAAAGAACTGGAAATTGAGGGTATGTACATCAATTGGAGACTGGCTGAACAAGTTGTGGTACATGAATGTAAAGGAATACTACTGTGCTATAAGAAAGGAAGAGCAGGCAGATTTCAGAAAAACCTGAAAAGAACTGACGCAAAGTGAAGTGAGCAGTGAGAAGTGAGGAGTGAACATCAATAGTGTACATTGGTCAACTGTGAATGACTTAGCTTTTCTCAGAAATACAATGACCTAAGACAATTCCAAGATTCCTGATGAAAAATGTCATCCACATTTAGAGAAATAACTGATGGAGTCTGAATGCAGATTGAAGGATATTATTTTTCACTTAATTTTTTTCATTTGTTTGGGTTAAGTGTTTTTATTTTTTTGGTCTGTGTTTTCATTCACAACATGAATAATTATGGAAATATGTTGTGAATGATTGCACGTGTATTTCGTGTTCAGTCATTTCAGTCATGTCCTACTCTCTACGAGCCCATTGGGGTTTTCTTGTCAAATATACTGGAGTAGTTTGCAATATCCAGCTCATTTTACATATGAGGAAACTCAGGCAAACAGAGTTAAGTGACTTGCCCAGGGTCACAACTACTAAGTGTCTGAGGCTGGATCTGAACTCAGGAAGATGAGTCTTCCTAACTTCAGGCCCAGCACTCTATCCCCTGCACCAATATAACTGCCCATTATACAATATCAAATTGCTCACCATGTCAGCAGGGTGGAGAGGAGAAAGGAGGCAGGGAGAATTTGGAACTAAATTATTTAAATGAATGTTTAAAAATTGTTTGTACATGTAATTGGTAAAAATAAATATAAAAAAAGAAAAAATATTTTATGTGCAAGAAAGGT